GAAGCACCAACACTTGTTTCAATAATCCTCCATAAAGTGCCCCTTTCTACCACAACCAAAGCATCCATTCTTTCTTTGCCTTCTTCTTTGGTCGGTAAACATGATATCTTCAATTGTGATGGGCACACCCTAGGCTCTCATCTTGCGAAGCATCCTCTTCACTCCTTCAATCAAATGCATCACTTCATCATTGGAGGAGGAGGATGTGGAAGCTTCATCATCTTCTTCTTCTTTACTTGACCTTGAGCTTATCTCAACTTGCTTCTTGCCCTTCATCTTCTTGTGCTCATCACATGTGAGAGCTATGCTTTTGCTTAATGAAGCAGCTTCTTCTTGACCCATCTTTCGTGACATCTCAAATGACACAAGCTTTCTTATGGCAAGTGTGGGGGTCATTTTGCTCAAGTCATCCTTGTTGTGAAGAATGGTAACGACTGATGCATATTTGTCATGTGGAATCATGGAGATGATCTTCCTCATAATGTCCGCTTCTTCTAACTTTGTCAAACCTATAGAGTTCAACCCATCGACAATTAGATTCAAATAGGAATACATGTCTCTTATAGGCTCATTTTCTTTCATTTTAAAGGAATCATAGGTTTGCCTAGTTAGACAATGTTTTTTCTCACAGAGATTGTTGTACCATCCTAGATCTCATGCAACTTTAACCAAATTTCATTTGCTTTAGTTAGGATGAACACTTAGTTAAAGATGTCTATGCTAAAAGATTCATATAAGCAATTTTTACCTCTTGCATTTAGATGAATTTCTTTTTCATCACTTGTGGGGTTTCTCAGGATTTTTAGGGGTCTTCCATCACAAGTGACTCCCCAAACACCTAGATCAATCGCTTTTAGGTAGCAAACCATTCAAGCACTCCAATATGGGTGCCATCAAAGTGCGGAGACCTAGAGGGTATCCATCCTTCCCTCTCTTAGTAATGTGTACTCAATGGTGGTTAAGCCAAAGGTCTAAATTGAGCCAACCGACTCTGATATCACTTGTACGGTCTGTGATGCCTAAGAGGCGGGTGTTGAATTAGTCTTTCTAAAACTTCTACTCTTAAACTATGGCCAGCACAAGGTGGGAGAGCTCCGGGCCGTATGAGGTCCACCTCGACCTCTCCCACCTCTCGCACTGCGTGGTGTCACGACCTCCCCTTTCCTTAGCCACTAAGGAAAGGACGAGAGGAGGGAAAAGCACATTCATCATGTCTGCCCAGAGGGGATGTGCACGCGCACTCAGCCAAGTATAGGAAGGACAACAACCCCTCTGACCATCCGGCCCTACAGCAGAGTGTCACCTCGGTCAGCACTTCGCTGCAGACAAGACCACACCAGGGCACAACTATGCCACGCCGTGTGGCTCTACACTGCCCAAGTCCCATCTAGCCTGATGGACGGACATACGATCGTACCCGCCATGACATGGGGGCCACAACAAGGAGTCAGCTCTCCCTTCTGACTAGATCCTATGCCCCCGATCTGGCCCTAGGAGGTCAGGGCAATGGGATCCTGACCCAGGGAGTGGGCAACCCGCAATGGGACAAGCCACTCTCCTCGTATAGTGACATCCTTCTCCCTGAAGAAATGGAGTGCTAGGACAAAGACCACGACGATAGCAAGCAAGCCATACCGGGCAGGAGAGTTGGTAAGCAACCACCACTCCCCATGCGCCGCCATGGCCAAAACAGTACCTCCACCGTACAACGCCCCTTGGCATAAGGAGCAAGCACAAGACGACCATGCCTCAATGACAAGACTAGATAGTCTGCTTAGGAAGAACGCTAGGTTCTCCATCCCTCGGGATCCTAGCCACTCGGGCTAGGAGAACCCCACTCTGCATGTAACTTGGCCCTCGTGACTATATAAGGGGAGCCATGCCTTCTTCTATAGGGGATTCCAGTCGATTGACTCTCGGTAGATTGGACTCTAGACATTCATCTTCCCCTTCCTCGAACACTACTACTAGTAAGACTATAGCTTGTACACCCCCTGTTGTAAGCCTTTTGGAGCACTTTGGCATTGAGGAACACGTACTCATAGGTCTCCAGCAACTAGACATAGGGCTCAGTCCCAAACCAGTATAAATCCTCTGTGTTCTGAGTGCTAGCCATCGATTCCCTTGAGTAGCGCAGTAATAAATTTACTAGTTGGTTATGAAAACAACGACACTAAGTGTCTTTCTATCTCTAGTTCTCTACCACAAAAGTCTTATCCAACCTAGGTTCCAATCCTATTAACTATCCTAGCAAGCTAAACTAGAATAGTAAAGCACACAACCTAAGTACACAATATAAATGCGGAAGCTTAAATGAGATAAGATGTAAACTCCCATCAATGACTCTGATATTTTTAAAGAGGTATTGATAAGCTCATGCTTCCCCTAGTCCTCGTTGGAGCCCCTCGCAAAGGCCAAGCTCCCGGTCGGGTAACTCTGTGGATAACCCTCGGGCCTTCCTCATGCGCAAGTGAGTCTCTAAGATGGCCTCTCCTAGAATGCTCTCTGTTGTCTTCATTATCGAGCTTCTAGCCAAACCATCGCCGGCCTCGTTTTCCTCCGGTACACGATGGCAGCCACACCACGAACACGGTTCGTGTGATCTCGGCCTGCAAGACTACAAGACCCTCCGATGTACAACAATGGTATGTGCAAGCACCGAGTGGTGACAGGTGGGCAAGCACATTTAGCAGTGTCTAACTAGCCTAAGCACTTTGCAAAGCACCTACACTATCAACTAATGATTCCTTAAGCTCATATGGTGGCAAGAGAACTAGAGTGGAGCAACAACTCCCTTGGAATGACCCTTGGCTCCTCACCCCTTCAAATGGACAATTTGGGGGGGTATAGATAGCCCCCACTTGAGAACTAGCTGTTGGTGCAACATTCTGTGCACGCACTAGAATTTTTGGTGGTCCCACCGAAGATTTCTAGTGGTTAGGCCCCATTGGAGATTTCTTGTGGCTGTTGGAACTAGCCATTAGCTGTCCGTTGGGCAACATTTTGTCCGGTGCTCCTTTTTCGGTGCTCACCAGAAATTTCCTATGTGTTATGCCCTGGTTCCTCTGCTAGAACTCATCGGAGAAGACCTTTTATCCAGTGCGTTGCACCAAGCATTTCCGGTGACACAAATACCTCATGTACGCGGCCTCTTTATCTAGTGCAACTTCTTTGGGATCACTAGAGATTTTCTGTGGCACAATTGACTCTGGTTGACTGCTAACCGCTTTTTTGAATGGTGCAAAACCACTAAGCACTAGAACTTTTGGTGGTACTAATTTGGCTGGTTTTGCTTTGTTTCTTCATGTCCTCACATCCAGGCTTCTTTCATCTCATCTTGGACTTGTAGCATCAAGTGTTGGTCGTCTATAGCAGCTCCAATGTCTTGCTTGAGGTGTTGATTACGTCGATCTCCACAATGCCTAAGTCCAATTTCACCTTGCATCCATTGGAACTTTTTCGACGACTAGCTCGGCAGGGTGGTGCTACTAGGTAGTGCTCTTGCTAGCTAGTGAGTAACAAGCCGCAGGTTAAGCGGTCGGTTAGAGACTCGTATTAACTTAATGCACCTCTAATATAAGGATGTACACCAAGATGGGGCTTGATACAATGCGTCCCTGATACTATCAACAATGAGAGATGTGGAAAACTTCACCCACTACTAATAAAATAAGCGTCTCCTGAAACATAAATCAAATAAGAGACGTGTACCAAATTTCACGTGTCTTTAAAATTGTACCCATCTCTAATGCGTCTCCTAGCAAAGACGGGCTTCAAAGGGGCGCATCAATCAAATATCAGAGATGGCTACTGATAGACGAGTCTTTGTTGTTAATTCATCAAAGACTCATGGGATGTACAAACTATACATAGACGCATAGTGGATTGACACGTCTCTAATCTACATATGTGATGTTGATGGTTAGTATCACTTATGTATGCTTTCTTTGTACCTTTTTGTCATAGTGTCGGCGTGTCGCTTGACAATATATCACTCGTTATTCTCACAATGATAAAGCCAGGGCAAGAATATAAATAATAGACCAAATCATCCCAGCATTACATTTTTGTTTTGACCTTTACACCTGTAAAAATCTATACACACACAATTTACTTGTAAAAGGATGTACAATTGCCAGGAGCATAAAATCAACAATATAGTAGCTTGTAACATTATCACTTCATAAACTTCAATGAATTTACATGTGTTTTGTACGCATTATGTCCAAAATACGAAAGTGTGTTGTACTGAACAAAGGGCAGTATTAATCCTAAATTATTTAGATTATTAACACCTAGCAAAACCTTAGTTGCACATCTATATAGATTATTTATTGCATAGATTTTGACTAGATAAAAATTAAAGGCCTTGGTTTTAGAAGTAGATTTTTAGAAAGCCTAATTCACTCCCTAGGCGTCATGATCACTTCAGTACCCATCTCTAGTGCGTTTCCTAGCAAAGACGGGCTTCATAGAGGCACGTCTATAAGATATCAGAGATGGCTACTGGATAGACTGAGTCTCTGTTGTTAATTCATCAGTGACAGGTGTTATACCTACATGGGCTGGACAAACTAAACAGAGACGCGTGGTGGATTGACACGTCTCTAGTCCTACAGCTGTGATGTTGATTGTTTTAAGTATCACTTGTGTATGCTTTCTGTGTACCTTCGTGTCGTAGTGTCGCTTGACAATATATCACTCGTTATTATCACAGTGATAAAGGCAGGGCAAGAATATAAATAATAGACCAAATCATCCAAGCATTACATTTCTGTTTTTGACCTTACACCTGTAAAAATCTACACACTCCAATTTACCTGTAAAAGGATGTACAATTTGCCAGGAGCGTAAAATCAACAATACAGTAGCTAGTAGCATTACCATTTCATAAACTTCAATGAATTTACATGTGTTTTGTATGCATTTTCAATTACCAAGCTTGAGCTGCCCGCTGCATAGTAGAGATCACGTGAGTTCACCCGTCGTCAGCTATATATTCAGCTGCAACCACCTGCCGCAAAGCCGATCCTGGATTGCGCGACGTCGTAGATGACGCTGAACGTCTGCTGCTGCGTGTTGCCGATGATGGTCGTGCTGTCGGTGGGCGCAAACGCCAGGCACGTCGTGGAGTCGTCCACGTCTATGAGCACGTTCCGCGTCGCCAGCTTGAGGGAGGCGCCGCCCGCGAACGTCATGGCCACGGCCGGCACGCGCAGCTGCGACGCCTGGCCCTCAAAGCACGTGTCCAGGATGGAGAACGCCGGCGCGCTCTGCACCCCTGCCATGGCCGCGGCCACCGCCTTGCTCAGCGCCGTGTACACGGCCGTCGGCAGGCGCGTGATCACCGTGCCCGAGTCTATGATCGTGGGCAGGCTGCTGTACTCCGACGTGGAGACCGCGAGTGGGCTCCCGCCGACCGACACCCCGGACAGGATGACGAAGTAGAGCGAGGCGTCGAGAGAGCTCGAGGCCATGGGCGTGTACGAGTACTGCCCAGAGTTATAGGGCCCGATGGAGAGGTACCCCGTTGACGCCGACGTCGGGAGGCAGTAGGAGAAGGAGTAGCCGAAGCTGGGCGCGAGCTGGTAGAGCAGCGAGAGCTTGTTGCGCGCGAGGCCGATGAGTCCCGCGGAGCGGCCGAAGAGCCCCTCGTTGTCCTGGCCGCAGCCGTAGTAGAAGTTCGGGTAGCTGCTGGAGCCGAAGGAGACGGTCTCCTTGCTGAGGTAGCCGACGGAGAAGGAGCTGTCGCCGTAGCTGGCCTGGTAGATGCAGACGTTTCTGACGGAGCAGGCGGACGGGTTGAGCGTGGCGGCCTGGAGCTCGTCGCACTGCGATGCCGAGCACGGCACGGAGGCGTAGGTGCTGGACGCCCTGGGGTCGTAGAGCGGGCCCACCTGGCGGTGGCACGATACGACGCAGGGCGAGCACTGCAGCCAGGTGAGCGACGAGCCCGTGTCGACGACCATGGCGTAGGAGGTGGCAGGCGTGCCGAGGCCAAGCTCGGTGACGTAGTTCCCCACGCCCACGGACGTTCCCGGCGTGAGCGGTACGGAGGCCAGGGAGTCGTCGAGTTTGCCGCCGGCGGCCTTCGGCTTGCGGAGCGATGTCGGGCGGCGGGGCGGCGTCTTACTGGCGGCGAGACGCGAGGCGAGGTGGGCGACGCGCGCATCGTCGTGGGTGAGGACTGTGGATAAGGGGAGGTCGGACGGGAGCGGCGCCGGCGAGCAGGGGCTCTGCGGGTGGTGCAGCGTCAGGTGGAGGCCCGAGCTATTCCGGTGCGGGAAATCTACAAAAGAATATATGTCAGTCCTGGGCTAGTTACTCGTTCATTTTTACCAACAGTTTGGGATATCGATATAGCCTCCGTTACATATTATTGACCATTATATCAAACATTTTGCTATGGGAAGCCCCGGTGCCCGGACGTCCGACGGATACGGATCTATCGGACTGTTCCGTGGACGCACTCCCTCAGCGCGCCCTCCTCCTTCTCAGTTCCGCACCGCACGCTACCAGCACGCCCCCCGTGACGCGCGCAAAGAGCGGACCCGCTGGCGATGGTACGAGGCCAGGGCAGCAGCATGGACCGATGCCGCCGCCCTGAGATTGCGCGCTCGCGCGAACTACCGCTGTTGCGTCTTCGTCGAACGAAGAGCCCGCTAACACCGACGAACCCGCGACCTACAATGCCTACGAAGAGCCCCGCAGCCTGTCGTGTCCGCCCCATGCCCGTGATGAGCATGCTGCATGCCCAACACCCCACACGGCCACAGCACCCCACGTCCATCGGCCCCAGCACCTCCGCCCGCTAGTCCCTAGCGAACCACGCGCCCCCGTTCATCCCAATTCGCCCCTCCCTGGCTAAACAACATAGAAAGCTAGAAAAAAATACGTGCAACAACACAGAAAACAACTACTGCAATATTAGGCTGAAGCAGATGAAACGCCATGAACATATATATTGCAACAATAAAGAACAACAGCTGCAATATTAGGATGAAGCAGTTGAAACACCATGAGCATATTATTGCAACAACAAAAGAACAATAGCTGAAACATTAGGCCGAAGCAATTGAAATACCATGAACATATTATTGCAACAACACGGAACAAACTGTTGCAACAATAGGTTGAAGGAGCTGAAACATTTGAAACATATTATTGCAACAACACCGAACAAACTGCTGCAACAAATAGGTTGAAGGAGCTGAAACATTTGGAACATATTATTACAACATTGGTGTGAAGCATATGAAACAACGCTCGAAATAAAAACACTTGCAATAACATGGAACAACTACTGCAACATGAGATTGAAGCAACTAAAACATATTGTAACATCTCAAGTAGTACTACTGCAACATCGCAAAAACATCTGTTGCAACAAAAAAAACCCATTGCAACATTCGAAATCATCTGTTGCAATATCAAAAAAAACCATTACAACACGGCGAGATCTGACCCCCAAGAGCTCGCTGGAACCCTAGCCACCGCTGCATCCCTTAGATCCAGATGAGGAGGAGGAGGAGGAGGAGGAGGAGGGCTCAGATCCAGAGGAGAAGGAGGAAGGAGGGCTCAGATCCAGATCCAGAGGAGGAGGAGTAGGGCCTCAGATCCAGATCCCTCCACAACCTACCTCGTCGGAGCCGCCGCCGTCGTCCTCGTCTCCGGTGGGGTGCAGGAGGCGGGTCACAGGGAGAGTGGGGGTGCATGGAGGTCATGGAGGGCGAGGGACGGAGGGAGGAAGGGAGCACGGGCGGGTGGGCGCGCAGTGAGCTCGCGTGCGGAGGGAGGAAGGGAGGTCGCGGAGGGGCGAGGGACGGAGGGACGTCGACGGAGGGAGGGAGGGAGCTCGCGCGGCGACGGCGCGAAGAGCGGGCAGGAAAGCGGCGCGGAGAGCGAGGGCAGGATAGAGCGAGGGCGGGGGAACGGGCGGAGTGCGACTGTGGGAGAGAGCGACTGCGGGGCAGCGGGCAAAGCGGGTGAAGTGCGAGTGCGGGGGAAGCGGGTGAAGTGAAGCGGCGTCGGGCGGGCGGATAAGGCGAGGCGCGGTCGGTGAAGTCGCAATTGAAAAAAAAATGTATACTATAGCACTATCATATCGTTTTCATGTGACAGAAAGCTTTTTTTTAAGGGATGTGACAAAAAGCTTAATATACTTCAAATGCCGAAAGTCCGAGTCCCTTGGCCATTTCAGAAACTGCTATAGCTCGTGGAGTCATTATACTAGAACATTGCAACGCACCAAGCACCAATGATTACGTCCTCGGCTAGCTTAGCTAACAGCAGCAGCAAGCTACGGTGCCAAGCAGCTGGCTAGCTAGTTGCCGTGTACCGTTTGCCCGGTTGATGATTGTGGCGGTGTGTCCCCCACAAATTCTGGTGGGTGGTCTGTCGTCCCGCGCCGATCGATCGCGAAATGTGACAGCGACCCAGCACCAATTGAAAGAGATTCATTCAGCAGCGTGGACGCATGCAGCTAGCTAGCACGTACTGAACCAGTGAGCGACGACGATACAGCGCTGCACAAATGGAAACGGGCACCACGAACGAAACAACGGATTGCGTGATTGTGAACGTAACTGCTCTATCTATTATATATAATAAGGAAAAAGTCCAAATTACTCCATCAAATTTGGTCTATGTCGAGATAACCCTAAATTAACATTTAATTCAATTTACTCCCTCCAACTATTTCATTTGTCTAGTTTAGCCCTTAATAGGATTTGTTATTTTTGTTTCTCCATGTATAAGTCGAGTAATAATATCAAATTTTGTGACTTGATAGAGGACATCTAAGTTATGTTAGAAAAATATGTCTAAGTTTTTTAATTTCCAGTATTTTGATAGCTTTGGAAATTTAATAATAAATTAACACTAGAGATATATAATATCTTACAAAACATATAATAATGAAAAATGCTAATGTATTCTTCTAGCACAAATATGATGTCTTCTATCACCACACAAAATTTGAAACTGAAACTCAATTTGTACATAGAGAAACCAAAAAAATCTTTTAAGGTGTAAATTGGACAAATTTAAATATTTGGAGGGAGTAATTTGGACTTTTCCCCTTGTATAAAGTACAATGTCAGTATAGGATGTATCTTCCCATGATGTGGATCCCTGTGATTCCATGCATGATTTGAGCATCCTGTAGGCCAACATGGTAGCTTTGCATTGTTTGGGCGTGATTCCATGCATGATTTGAGCATCTTGTAGGCCAATATGGTGCTTTGAATTGTTTGGGCGAGTATGTCATATGTGTACCTAGCTACATATAGTATTTGACAAGCCAAAAAAATGCTATTCTCTCCGTCCCTAAACGTAAGTATTTCAATCATTTCAAACTTATCTATAAACATAAACATTTCTAGAAATCATTTATAACATGCCTAACTACATGGGTAATTAATTGACTTTTGTTGTAAACAATGAAATATGATTAATTTTTGTTGTAACCTTTGCATTGTGATTATAAACCAGCCACTAGTGTTACTATTAGCATAATAGCCAGCTATTAAATAAGGCAATTAGGAAGTGGAGTAATTATAGAAAATATTATTAAACCAAAAATATTAGTAAATAAAAATATATAAACTAGATTAGTAGATTTAGATAGAGTCAAACTTCTTTAAGTTTGAGTATAGAAAATATTATTAATATTTATGACTCTAAATAGGTATAATGTAAAAATATATTCAATGAGTAATATAGCGGTACCGTTTGGGAGTACTTTTTCTATATATTTCTTCAAAGTTAAAATTGTTTGATTTCTTAAAAAACCAGAATTGTATTCATTTTTGAATCAAGAGAGTATTTGTGCAACAATCAGTTGGCTTGCCAGTGAGTTCAATTGTAAGGGCTTCCTTTTTGCCCTCCTTGGATTAGGATTCGTACATATCTAGGTTACCTAAAGAAGCCCTACATCTGTTATTATATATATAACATGAGAGACATAGAGAGGCGAAATAATTTCCATATTCACGGAGTTAGTTAGAGGAGGTCATACAAAAAAAAATGGGTACAAAAAAATAGACTAAAATTTTGCCTCTTTATTATTAGGTATAGATTAGTTAAACTAAGGAAAGTTCGATTCGATTTAAATCTAGAATTTGTATACTTCTATGACGGTGAGAGTTGCTTCCTCCAATAGCTGACGCGTGACATCAAGAGGCAGTCTAATCCATCACGACGTCTCACAGCAACCGTGTGTGTCGAAGTCCGACCCAGAGAAACACGTCAACAAGAGTGAAATAGAGAGGTTGATGGTTACAGGTGAAGGGAAACCATTCACACATTCTTATTATCTTATCCATTTATCTTTGTGCTTCCGTTTTCCTGCCCAAGTACACAATGCAGAGTCTATTCTTCCGAGCATGCATAGTCCGAACAAGTACATGAGCTGTACTTCTCATAAAAAAAAGGTAAAGAGGCTGTACTGTACTTAACCAACACATTTTAGGCAGTGCCGCAGTGATGAACCAAGTGCGTACCAATGGCCAATGCGAGGTATTAGATCAATATATACTTCATGCCCTTTTCCTTTTCTTACTTGAAAATCTAAGTTAGTTCAATTCGATTAGTTATAGGTCAACCTAATGATCTAGAGACAAAATATTGAGAAAGATCCTCTTAGTTTTGGTCTGGCTCTATATATAGCTTGAAGGGATCGTGAACTGATTGCAGCTGTGCTGGTTAGGTTTTTTTTGTGATGAAACATGTCCATTCAGCCTGAAGTTCTTGACTTAACATGAATGCTTATATTTTCCTACATTTATTTCAAGATAACGAAGCTATTTTTACAATGGTAGGCAACACGTACCATTGAGGCATCAACATCGAGACATTTGTGGTGATGACTTTGTCAATCTCGAGATCTGCTAGTTTAAATTTTCAGAGGTGCTCGTAAAGATATGGATGTGCGACGTGCGTACATGTATATGAATATGAATATGAGTGCAGGTGAGTATCTGTGTGTATATACTGTGTTTGGGAGGGAAAAAACATGGGTCCTTGAATTAATAGGACAACTGTCATGTGTTTTGTTGCAACTTTTTAATAGGCGCCACCTTGTACGTTTGATGCACTGCAAAAGAAGAAAAAAGGACAAAGGAAGAGGAAGACTGTACTATGCTGGATTATAACCTAGGTCCATACTACATGATTAAGGTGGGACATCCAGTAAAGCAGGTGATGATAAGTTTGGGTGCAATCTACCCATGGTCCTTCAGGGTGTCCCAGGGCATGTACAAAGGCATAACGCTAATTGTTCATAAGAGGTACGCTATCGGTCCTAAGTTTTTAACTTTGACTTGTTTTTTTCTTAAAAAATATTGACATCTACAATTTCAAATAAGTAGACTATCAAGTATATTTCATTGAGAATCTAATAATGAAACTATTTTGATACCATAGATGTTTATTTTTTTTCTATAAACTTGCATTGGCTAATGTTAAAGAAGTTTAATAACTTAGGATAAAACAAAGTGAAATATAATTTGGAAGATCATCATATTGGCATTTTTTATGATATGGATAATGGATTTTTACTTATTTATTTATTACCGTTAATTATTAATTGGATTAAAATAACTTAATTAATACAAGTATAACCACCAGAGAAAAGAAAATATATGGAACTATATATAATATAATATAATGCATGGGTCAGTCTTCCCGGCCTTATCATGCATGACAAGACAAAGGACAAAAAGTGGCTCGTTAGGAGCACACACAACATCATAATTATTAATCAATCAGCCTTCAATAAGAAAAAATATATAAAAAAAGTTATCGACCTAGCGAGTGACATTTGACACGGCATCTACGTACTACAGTCTACCACACGCCCCTTCTCGCTATCCAAGCTTGCACTAGATCTCCAAAACAAAATCTCAAAAGAAATACTATATGGCACGTTTACGTATGGTGTTTTACCATCTTGAGTACAAACACATTTGTTGCTGTTCCGTTGCCGCTGAATTGCAGGTGGCAACAACTACGCTCACAGGAACACAGGATATATATAAAGGCCACAATATGATATCCATGTGGAAAATCATGGCGCAAATCGATCTGGCAGCAGTAACGCACCGCCGTCTCCCTGCTGCTACACCCTAATCCAAATATCCAATGAATGCATGCTTGCATTCAGTGGGTCACACACTCACACAACGTTTGAGACAAGAGGGAAAGTGGGGCACTGCAAACATTTGATTTGATCTCTCTCGAGAAAGTCTATCATGTCCCTGATATAAGTTTCACGGTCTGTTGGTTGGTTCTATACTTCTATAGTCTATGCGGTCTGTCAACTGACGTACACTTTATTCTTTTATTGCCTGAAGAAGACCGTAGTCTTTGCAAATGCCGTAGAAAGAAAGTGATTGCAGACGAATATATATATATACACACACCCACACAAACATCTGATAATTAATCCAATAAAGAACAAACCATCATTTCACGTCTTTTGAATTTGATGTGACTATCGCAAACTATATATAGCGCTATTGAAAAATTTGTCTTTCACTGTCAAAAATTCAGTACTAGCTAGCTCCTGTATGAACTCTGGATGGACATGTATATACATCCTCTGACTCTGAGGATTCCTAGTTCGTCTACCACTCAATTGACTACGATTGCAGACTGCCAATTCATCTAGGATACTGGTGCAAGTGCAATCGTGACGAGCAGAGAGTTAAAACGAGTACAAATTAAACAAGATTAAGCTATAACAGAAATATATGTACCACTGATTTGCGAAGCGCAGACGCTGGCGATGTCCCGGGCAGGAGCTGCGACCGTGAGCAGGAGGGAGCAGCAGGCAGCAAGAAGAGGAAGCAACCCCATCCCCATGGCGTTCCCGAGGTCTCGCCCGAGCTGAAAGCTTCCTCTTGAGGCCGTGCGGTGAGGAGTGAGGACAGGCCAATCATCGCCCTTTTATATAAGAGAAAGGTTCTGTATCATGTTTGTGTGTGGGAATCTCGCCGGTAGCTTTCATCGCTCTAATTTACTGGTCACTTGGTCTGGCCAAACGATTTAATATAGTGATTTGGTGAGAAGGCCAATCATGTCAGTTAGTAGTTACCGGATATATACACCGTAAGCCAAAGCCTCTTTTTTTTGGATTTTGAACTAATTATTAGGTGCAAAGGATGAGAATAAGCTTTGGGGATATATATACACACACACACACTCCTACCAACTGGATTAATAGCAAGAAACTGCCATCTTACCAACCACATGACGCGTAGCGGGTACCATGGAAGGTAACCTTCATGTGTCACAAATAAAGGACGTCCGTGGCCTTGCTTACACAAGAGGACCGGTGTCGGCTATGCTCGAACTTGTGCTGCATTGGGATACATTGCTCTTCCAAATGCACGATTCTAGAAATTTTGGAATAGAGAAAACATAGAAACAATATGTCCTAGTATTTTTAATCTGATGAATTGAGAAGCACATAAGACGGTGAGATTGAATGGTTGAAATGCACAAATTTAAAGTATATTTCGATGAGGGATTTTTTTATTCATTTTAAAATCGTTAAACATTCCTAGTCTCTGTGTTAGCAGGATACACATAGCCAAACGAAAGATTTTCAAAAAAAAAAAGTTTAGACACACTAATAGCACTTAATCCGAAGACTAAACTACTATCCACATATTTGGGTATAAAACTCCATGGTCACCCGTGTCAATAGTTGAAATGCCGCTGCAATCAAAACATGTAATATTGGCTTTTGTGGAATAGCCCATATATAAAGCCAATATATAGCCGAGTAGATAACCTATAAAGAAAAAGAAATCTGTTTCTTTTTTAAAAAAAAAATCAGGTCGTTCGTACATAACCAAAGCAATCGACATGCAGCTTCTACTCCTAGCAAAGATAATGATTGTACTTCTATACTAAGACCCAGAGCCAAGACCCAAACATTCTTGATACACTATGCGGTTTAGACAAACCTGAAGTCGTACGAATAACAGACCAGACCTCATGAGTAGTACGACACTTAAAGACAAGTGCTTAATTATCTCATCTTTGTTAAAAAACAACATTGTTTGTTGTCTTGCCAAATACAGACCATACAACGCGAGTAATATGACACTTAACGAACGACTTAATTGTATCATCTTTGTTAAATAGAACAACACTGTTTGTTGCCATTACGTTTAGCTGTCTTTGGTTAACACTACGCCCCTATGCATGTACAACTGAAAGACCTTGATCTTCAATGGAGGTTTTAATTTCCACAAACATTTGTTAATATTAAGGACATCATTATGGATCATTGCCACGTAATGGGATTTGATTGAGAACTGTCCATTACGATGTAAGTTCCAGCAAAATTCATCTTCATCCTGGCTTAACAAAATATTTATGGTGTATGGAAGTAAGTTGTTCCAAGACACTAATTTGTGTCCAATTAGATCTCTTTGCCAGGATAGTGTAGGTGGTGCGGTGCTTTACACTTCTGCTACAATAACTTGTTTGTGCAAGGCTTATGTTATAAAGGTAAGGATATTGTTGACACAAAGTTCTCTATCCCAACCACCTATCTTCCCATAATCTTACTTGTGATCCATTCTAAATTATGAAGGTCCCAAAACAGAGAAACTCTCGTTTAACCTTCATAAGGCTAGCCCAGAAATGCGAGTTCTCGTTCTTCCATTGACCTTGAGAAAGAGGTTTAGATCTTAAGTATTTCTTGCATAGCATTTGTTGCCAAGTACTCTTAGTTGTGAACGCTTTAAAAAACCACTTGTTCAGAAGGATCGTGTTTTTTATGTCTAAATTGTGAATTCCAAGCCGACCTTGGTTTTTGAGTTGGTATAATAAGTAGTCTAATTTCTTAACAACTTCTCTCCGGATCGCAAAAAAGGACATCATATACATATGTAAGGTGCTAAGCATGAGTTAATCAGTGTTAGGCGCCAGGCCATCAGCTGACAGATGTTTTCCTTTCTAGCTGCTGAGTCTTTTTTTCAAAATGTTCTTTTACTCTTTTTCTATCTACATTTGAGAGCCTCCTATAATGTATAGGTTGTTGATATTTCTTATGGTTAAATAGATAACTCCGCAAACGCACATATTATCATTATAACACTTGAGCAGGGAGCATTCCAAGTACTGTATCCTTAGAGAGTGTGTGGTTAAGATAATTGTTTGATATGATTTCTAGTAACTATGACCCTGTTTAGATCCATTTTCCATAACAAAAGTTTAGCCCCTGAACTTTTGCTGCTAAACTTTAGTCCTTGTTTGGGTGTTTGGATCCATGGCAAAAAAAAAAGGCTAAAAGTGCAAAATAAAGTGTCCTTCACACCCCCAATGCTTTTAGCTTAGTTTTACACCACTTGAGGTGCAAATGGACTAAATTTTAGCCTCCCTTTTACTCACTTTTAGCCTACCTGTTTAGATCTATTTGTCAAAAAAAAATGAGTTAAAAGTGTAGGGAAAAAGTTTTGCCACGGGAAATAAACAGGGCAATAATAGGGATGGTGCGACATATAAGAATAATTAAGATAAACAACGACTCTAGTATGAAACTAGAGGGATATAACTGTAGACACACCCACACAACAAATCACATAGTGATGAAAACAGGACATGAATCTCAATGACGTCATTTGCCATATTCACTGACCGTATATTCAAAAAAATTGAGAATCTGAAAAAAATCCAAAAAGTTGAGAAGAAAAACAAAAACTTGAAAAAATCAGTGGATTAGGGATGAAAAAACAAAGCATTTTCCTGAATACATTTATGGTTCCCAAATTTTACCGAGACATTTTCGTTGGTAATTGTCTCTTTTTTTGTTTCTTAAACTCCTCCCCCTTAGCTTTGCCTAGTCTAGCTTAACTTACCTTTCTTCTGTTTCTTCTACTTACTTGTATTGAACTTTTGCCTTTCTTTTTTAATAAAGCACTGTAGGGGGGCCTTGGCCCCTCTAGATTCGTCAAAAAAAATGTTGGTAATCCTATTTACTTGTTTCCGTTTTGGCATAACTCAACATCTTGCTTTTCTCTTGCAGAAGTGAGGTGGGAACTTTAGCAGTGTGTTGCATAACGCAGACATGACGCGTGCTTTGCTAGCTCAATGGGCCGCAGCCAAAGCGGAAGCCTACTAGCCCAGTATGAAGCATTGGATGGGATGGAGCCCCACTTTGGGATGCTTTCACTCGTAGAGTGTAGTCACTCGAAGCCTATCCATATTTTTTTCTTTTCCATTTTTTTTTTATTTCTGCCAAATGCTTGTTGATCATCTCATATCAGTAGTATTTGGTAGTCAGTTATAATCTAGGAAAACTAATGATCTATGCACTTCTCGTTACATTAGACCATCAGTTCATGTACTTTTCGTTTCCCATTTCTAGTTCGTTTCTTTTTTTATATGCCATTTATTTCTTGACTGTCCAAAAAAACTACGGTTGCGAGTCAATCTAATTAGGCCACTGCTGTTACACATATATTTGTGCCTTTATGGATCTGTCTAGTATCAACTGAACATGGTACATTTGACACTATTTGTCCATCTACTATGTATAGTAGTTTCCATTGCGTTGACTTAAACACTTGAAATGTTATGTGTGCTGTTGTTCTCATTTTGAATTATCAGTCTTCGATTATTACGTTCCCGATTTCCAGAAATTATAGTTGCTTTTCCTGATTTCGGTTTTGTTTTTTTTTTTTGAAAAATGTGAAATCAAAAGTGGTTTGAGAGTTTTCCTGACCTTTTTCATCCCTAATCTAGAGTCTCTAGCTCCTAAGCGTAGAAGGCACAAATGCCATCACAATATAAGGGTGTTTCTGTGTTATGTCTGTGTTTTTCATATTTTAATTAGGTCTATGTATCGACCACCAGCCGGCCTAATCCTGCATTCGTTTGTTTAGACAAATAATCACAACTGCTAACAACTCAACAGCTATCCCAAAGTTCAGGTTTACAATGTTTTGGGCACGACATACTTGTTGCACTCTCCTGCCAGTTTCGTCAGTGCATACGTACAAGACAGAGTATGCAACTCTTCCCGAGATGTGTAAAGAATCCAGCAGGTCAGATCGGTAGCTCCAGCCTGATCACAGGGCTAGATCCGGCGATGTTTTGTTCCATGCGATCTTGCTTGGTTGTAATCTGTTTCTTGGTCCTCTTCATGCTTTTGGAACAATATGTGCGTCAGTGCTGTCTTATATTTTGAGATAGAGGGTGTAGTAATATTGCATAACAAATCTTCTCGTATTTCACCAAAGAAAAAAAAAAGTTTTTAAGCTCGATGCGGAGTGATGGAACAAACTTTGTGCCTGTTACTAAACCGCTGACATGATGCAATGCAGCATGGGTGTTTCTGTTTGATACCTTTGTTTTGCATCTTTTAGCTCCATCTATATATCCAGCCGGCCTAATCCTGCATCCATTTGCATTTTCTTACGGCCTTTGGATCTTTGTTGCTAGACACAATCACAACTGGTAAAAACTCTTTTTTTTTTGCACCACTTGCTGCACTCTCCGGTCAGTTTTTACAGGTCAGACAGAGCATGCACTTGGTATAAAACAGAGTATTATGTATCTGTTTCCGAAATCTGTGCAGAATCCAGCAGGTCAGACTGTGGTAGCTCCACCCTGATCACAGACAGAACTAGCTCCGGAGATGTCTTCTTCCATGCGATCTTGCTTGGCTGTAATCTGTTTCTTCGTCCTCTTCATGCTTTCAGAACGATGGGTTCACTCGGAGCAGCAACACCATCATGTCATCAGCATCAGGTCACTGCTGTCTGGAACGAACTGCTCTTCATTGTCTTCTTATAATCCAGGTACCATCCTATGCTCTTACTCCACATTTACATGGTGTAAATCTT